CTGGTCGGATGTTGTGGGTCTCTCGGCGATGCCCAACTAGTGCTGCGTATGTCGCAAAGCGCATGCCACACCTCTGTTCCGTGTCGTTCTCGCCCTTCGTCGTATGATCGCACCAGTAAGGTTTTAATGTATCCTCCTCCCTGCCCTCCTCCTCCTGTGTCGTCGCATCTCGTGTCGTGAGCACATCCCAATTTCGCTCGTAAATGTACAATATTGATGGGTCTGTTTGTAACCAGTTTTTTTGTTCCGTGCTCCCCTGTTCGAATATGGCGAGGTCGGATTCCCTGTCTGCATACCATCCCATGCTCTCGTCCACAGTTGCTATCACATGCATGTCGGCTGCAAACTGCTGTGCCCACGGGGTGGAGGAGGGCCCCGCGAATCCCTGCCCCTCTAGTCGCCGTATGTCCTGAGCCGCGTCTAGTCTGGATGTTCCGAACACCGCTGCGATGACTGCTCCGTGCTCCCAAGGGTGCCTTGACCAGTTCTGGTACCATCGTAGGCGTCGCACAAGCAAAGATACGGATGTGCGCTCAAGTCTCCAGTATCTGAACACCTGTCGCAAATTGTTGCACCTCACTGTCCCATCTGTTCTGGTCCACGACATTGCTCCCCCCGCTAGCGTCCGTATGTACTTGCCTAGTACGCTGTCGATTGCTGTTGTGCGGGTATCTGTCAGAACGAGCGCAGGCAATCCGCTAAGGGCCGCACCTACTACGAAGGCCATGAACATCATGCGTTTTATTTGTCGGGGTACCTTAGAGGTCCAGAAGGTCCCGCACTGTCGCCATGCAACGCGGATGGCTGCGATGCGCCGCACGACCTCGCCAGTGATGCCCTGGCCAGCTGGTAGGTAGGGGCCAAGTACACGCATCTCCCTTAGCGCCTGACCTTGCAGTGTTTTGCTGCGTCTGAGTTGTCTGGTTTTCCCGTAGCAGCCTTGCCCTACTAGGTATAGTAGGTGGTTGGTCTTGGCATTATTGAGTCCCCATCCTCCTGCTGCTATTGTTTGGGAAAGGCGTTCTGTGTTGCTGTTGAGTTGTTGTTCAATATCTCCAGCCGTCGCTGCGGGTAAGATTGTCTGCACATAGGTGATGTCGTCCATGAACGTGTTGAGAGCTAAGTCGTGAGTGTTGCCTGCGACTGGGTTGGTCGTGTCGTGGATAATCTGGTCTGGGTCCGTGCGGCCTTGTTCCCACCATTTTGTGACGTACAGGTTGTATGCGTCGTTGAATTGCCTTGGGCAGAGGGTGAAGCCCATTTGGGCGCCTGTGGTGCTCTCAGCTTCGACTGTGCCGTCGGCAGCTTCGAGCGTCAGGGTAGAGTGGTCAATTGCTGCCATGGCGAAGCGCTGGTCGTGCTCGTGTGCTTGCCTGAAGGCAACCGCTCTGAGTAAAGCTCGGTTGGTGGCTGCAACCGCGTTGGTGCCGTCGTAGTTGGTTGTGATTGTGCTCACCCCCCCTTGTGCAGCCCTCCATTGGGCCGCTTGTACGCAGAGGATTGCGTTTTCCCGACAGCGGTGTGGGGGGCCTCCTTGGGCCCAGGGCGCCTGCGTTGTGGGTGAACCACGTGCGTGGATGCCTGAGTGCCAAGCCATTCCAAAGGAATCGTAGACGTGTAGTATACGCTTCCCTAGTATCCCTTCTTTGTTGTTGTGTTTCTCTGCTGGGAATGCTTGTGATCGGTGCCAGTCCAACGGGGTGACCTGACAACTTCGGCATTGTGCAAGGAATTGGTCTAGGTACTTCATGTACCCTTTGCTGTGGTCCGCAATCGTGTCTGCACCTAGTCCTGCGTACCTGCCCCTCCCCACTGCATAAGATTGCTGCTCCCAGGCGGCTCCTTCTGTCCCATCAGTCGCCGTCGGCACACGTCCCAACCTGGTACCTTCCGTCCACCCCATCCGTCGAAGCAGTTCCCTCCCCTTCTTGCATCGCCCCAGTGTCGTGTAGTGTGCAAGCTCATCTTCGTCCCCCCTTTTTTCTGCAGCTGCTACTCGCTTTTCTTCTAGTCGTCTGCTGAGCTCTGCTGGGTCCTGAAGATGGAGGGTGGGATCGATCATCAACCATGTCATTTCGATCGGAATGCCCCATGGTGGCCAGGCCCGTCGTTTACTGGCTCGCTGGCAATACCTACGCATCGCTCGCTTGTCGGCCTCGACCTGAAAAAGAAGATCGTGGTCGGTCGGCAATCGGTCGATGTGCTCCTGGACGAAAGCCTCGTGTTCTGCTCTCTCTGCCTTTCTGTCGATAGGCCTTGCTCCTAGTCCCCCTTCCAAAGCTGGATGGGCGAGCTCCTGATACCAGTAGTCGCAAGGCCAGTGGGTTCGAGCAGATCGGTAGTACCTTTTCTTTGGCCCGCGTCCGTTCCTCTGGTACTGGATGCGTAGTCGGTGCATCTCGGCGAGGTTCCGTTTTTCGTAGGCCTCCCATATGCGTTCGACCAGGAGCGCCCGTCTTTGTTTCTCTACACCTTCTCGGGCCTGCTTCAGCGCCGCCGTGACTTCTTTCAGCTCGTTTTGTACCCAGTCGTAGTCGTCGGCACACTGTTCTGGTGTTAGGCTCTGTCGCAGTGTTCGTCGCTTCCTAAGGAGCTCGAGTCGGTATTGCTTGGCTCGCTTCGTAAGCTGATCGATCTCGTCGGGTGTGCCACTTTTTCCGAAAGTCGTGAGCATGGCCGATCGTGCTGCTCCTCCCAAAAGGTCCCAGGTCTCGTCTGGCGTCGCCGCTCCCAGTGCTCTCTCCCACTGCTCCCCACCCACCTCCTCCACCTCCTTGTCGAGTTCGGTGAGCAGCATCTCCCTCTTGTGGCCGCTGCGCAGACACTCCATGAGTCCGTCCCTGCACAGCCCCTGTTGTAGGCGGGCGCGCGTGGGGAAGGAGGTGTTGGAGGT